CTCCATTGGGCCTGACAATGGAAGTGTTGTTGAGTGGGAAGAACCACTTAGCTCCTCTCTGGTTGGAATCTCTCCAAGAAACCAGAAGGAGGCAACAAACCTAATAAGGTGATAGAATCATAGAGTATTCCATCATGGAAACAGACCCTTCAGTCCAACTAGTTCATGCTGACCATATTCCCAACCAAACTAGTCCCACTTGCCTACATTTGGTCCGTATCCCTCCAAACCTTTCCTTTTCATGTTCATCCCCAAATTCTAGTCAAAAGATCAAAGGATCAGAAATGTGCATCTTATTGCCTTAAGTCTGTTTTTCAACTCAAAGCCAGCTCCTCAACATACAAGTCCATTGAAGCCACTAATTGGATACTTATTTGATTATTACACAACCAGTTACTTTTCGTTTAGAGATTCACTGACCTGATTAGGTCCATGAAAGCATCTGCTGCCTGCACCTTCTCAATCTTTCCTTCCCGATGTAGGTCAACTTTTGATCCTTTGCCAGGGTGGATGATCATTACCATAACAATTCCAATAAAGACAGCGATGATAGTGGTTACCATGTAGAAAACGACAGCTCGGATTCCCATTTTACCAGACGCTTTGCTGTCCAGAGCTGCCATTCCTGATTGGTAGAAGTCAAGAGAACAACTTAAATGGAGACTGGTCTGGAAGGTACAGGCAGAAATTATATGGCAGACACATTAACACTAGAAGTACCTGATCATTATTGCAAAGTTACTTACAGCCTGCTCATTAGATCCACTGTGAAAGCAATCGGTTTTGCAACCTGTTCATAATTAAACTTGAGGGAGCTGGTGTCACTGTCACTGGAGTAATAATCTCAGAACCATGGGTGACATGGGTTCAAATCCCACCATGGCAGATGGTGAAAACTGAATGGAAAAATCGAGTGGATCTAAGGACTAGCATTATGGTGACCATGAAATAATTGTTGATTGTTGTTAAAAAAAAACCCATCTGGTTCACAAATGCCTTCAGGTAAGGAAATCTGTCTGATCTGCTCCACATGTGACTCCAGACCCACAGCTTTGTGGTTGATTCTTAACATTCCTCTGGAATTAGAGGAGTAGGTAATATTTGCTGGCTTAGATTCTGATGCTCACACCCCATAAATGAATTAAACAAACACTGCTTTCCAAACAACCTGCGCAGTATCACAGGATTCATACAGTCATTTACAGCACAGCATGAGGTAATTTGGCCCATCAAGTCCATGCTGTCCAGTCCAGTTAGTCGCACCCACCCTGATCATCTCAACCCTGCAACTTCATTTCCTTCAAACACCCTTCCAATTTCCTTTTGGCATTATTGATTGTTTCTGCTTCCAATATCATCATGGGCAATGAGTTCTGGGTCATTGTGTAACAAGTCTTTCTCATAATACCCCTTGGTTCTTATACCATCATCTAAAGGGAAAAGGTTTTCCTCATCTGTCTTATATAAGCCTGTCATAAGCTTGTATACCATTATCAAATCTTGCCTCACTCTCCATTCCAAGGAGAACAGTCCCAACTCCTCCAACCCAATTTATGAAATAACCCCTGCCATCCCTGAAATTATTCTTGTAAATCTCCTCTGCGTTCTCTCTAGCACTTTCATATCTCTGTTGAAGTATGGTGGCCAGAACAGTGTACAATACACTAGTTGACATCTAACCAGAGCTTTATTAAGTTTCAGCATTTCTGCCTTTCCTTTATTTGTATAAGGGTGCAAAGGTCTGAAAGGATTAATGCTGAGGAGTGCATTAAGCATCACCCAATAGGAGATGTCATATGGAATTGGGACAGACAATAGTGCTGGATCTTGAAGGAATTTGATGTAACACTGCAAATCTCCCCCAAAGTCTAAGTAGCAGTGACTATCACATCAAGGTAACTTGGACCTAATTACTATTATGAAATAAACTACATACTGTTCAAGACAAATGTCTTTTCTCATTAGACTACCAGCTGTTTTTCCCCTGCCAGGTAGATCAAGCATGTCTTGTAGATCCCAACCAGGGAAAAGGAGGGTGGCAACAAATCTACCAGATGGATTGAATAACATGAGGAGCTATGCTAAGGATTCATCTTACAACATCTTTGATTCATTGTTCAAGATTCCATATGGTTTGCCAACAACTCTTCCAATATGTCCTTAACACCTTCCAAGTTTGATACTCGTGGACCCACCAGTTTCTTGTGCATACTTTTTGTAAATGTGTAATTAAGTCTGTGTTACCTCTTTCCATTCCAACTTCCAAATTGCATTACTTCACATTTCTCTGTGAAATTCAGTTTACTTCATAAAATTAACATGATTTACTTACATTTTTAACATAACTTAAACACTATCATTTAACTTTCACTCATAACTTAAACTTACTAATATGGATTAGTACCATACTTCCCTGTTTAAAATTATACTTCCCTCCAACATTATCTGGTTACTACTACAATATGCCCAAACACAATTTGGTACGACGATGTAACTGACACAAACTGTACTCAAATGGTGTAACTCTATAACTCTACACTTCCAGGAACTAATGTTGTAGCCTTAGGTGTGGATACCAAATGGAAGGGGCCACCTTACTGTAATTCTCAAAGAAAATGATTTTTCCTTGTCATTGAATACTGCAACCTTACAAAACACATCACCCATCATTTAAGTAAGTAGTGGAGACTATTATATTTTTGATTGAGGAAATGATAATGAGAATTCTTTGCCTCCTTACAAACGAGGTAATGAGGAAATGAAAGAGGCTGGATTGGGGGGTTTGTAAAATAAGGTACCATATAAAATATCTGTTTCCAACAAATTAACTTATACTGCAGGTATGAGCAGACTGAGAAGGTTTAATTAGATTTCTCTGCCTGTCAATATCTCTAAAGATGGCACTTCGAGGATGATCCCCCTTTACCCTAGGAGGTTATTGATAAGGTATACAAGCTATGGGCTGAAGATATTCAGCTCACGTGAACAGAGATTACAGATTTATTTATATAAGTAAAAACGACAACAACAACTTGCATTTATATAGTGTTTTTAACATAGTAAAATATTACAGGGCACTTCACAGCAGCAATATTAAACAAAATTTGACACCATAGTTTTCCTTGCAATTTTTTGCCACTGGATCTTTCCCAGTAGCTTCAGGTGACCTCTGTTAAATTTGTCAGCACATAGTTCAATACTTTTTAAAGGACATTAATGTTTTATAGCTCATAGCCATATAAATGAAATCTGTAAAACAAAAATATTGGACAGTCAAATTCTACATATTGACAAGTTACCCTGTGTTGAAAGGCATTTTGTCTTGGAAGTTTCATATAACAACCCTCTATATTTCTGGGCCTGGCTGATCTGCTCTTTGTTCAGCAGTAGACCAGTAGGAAACCAAGGATAGATTGGGATTGGTGAGTTGCAACACGCAAGCCAGACAGTCTTGTTTTTCCTTAATGGATCAACATGCTACTGCTCTGAAGTTCAATTGGTTTTATTGGGGGGGGCACCCCAATCATGCCATTGTTGGCACAGACTGCAGCGGTTCAAGAAGGCAGCTCACCACCACTTCAAGGTCAGTTAGGGACTAGAATAAACACTGGCCCAGCCAGCAAAGTCCACATTCCATGTAATAAGGGCGCTTATTACATTCTTCAAATCCCCAGCTCCTGGATTTGGGATGGAATCGGGACAAAGACAAATGGGTGGACAGACATCTTGCCTTGCTTTACTTGCTCTGATGGAATATAGCATTGTGGAATTTGTAAACTGTTGAATGCTGAGATTACTCAACATACCAAAGGATGAACCTTCACAATTATCACTGGGCAGAAAGTGACTGTTGGGGTGGTGTGCCCCAAAAATGAAAATTAATCATCTATGTTTTCTTCAATTCCGTCCTCAACTACTTTAACCTGTTTCATGTAGTATGCCTATTTTAGTTTCTCACTTGCGTTTGATTTAATCAGTCATTGTCCAAACACTAATCTGTTTTATCCAATGCATTATTTAACTTCCGAGTTACCTCTGCTGATCCCATGGACCCTGTTGGTTTGGGAACATCTTAAAAATGTAATGAATTCACATTCAGTTTCTGAATCCAGTTCATTAATGTAAATTGGAAATAGAGATATTTTTACCACTGAGCACTGGGTCTCTGCATGAGTACTTCCCCTATCCTGATTTCACTTCGATAATGAGTAATCTTTGTTTCCTATCCTTCAGCCAAGTTATTATTCATTCCAAATACATTAACTCTCACCTACAAAGCATAATAACAGTAACATTGTCATCTATAATCTATAATAATGACAGTTTGTTGGAGAGTAACACTGACACATTTTGTAATAAAGACAAATATTTGGATGCTTGGAGTTGGATTTTCTGATTCAGCAGGGTTCCTGCTAGAAATGGGTCAGCCAGGCCCCACTTTGATTTTAGTAAATTTTATGGGGTCAGATTCTTTATAGCAACAAGGGCACACCACCAGCTCTTTTAGCACTGGCTAATGGAGGGAAGCATGGGAAATCCGGTGCTTTTGAAGTATTAACATAGGCAACAGCTTATTTAGCATTTGGGAGCACGGACTTTGAACAATGAAATAAAGAGCAGTGTGGCTGTGGATCCTGCAGCAGGACACTAAGGTTTGAGTTTACAAACTGTTTCATAGAAACTCATTGTTGCATGTGAGAGATAGGAGGCAGAAAATGCTTGTGGCTCAGGGGATTAAACCACAAGCTTGTAGCCAAAATGGAATTAATCAGATGCAAAAGGAGAAAAGTGACTTGGTATTCAATGCCATCTCCACCAACATCGAATGGCAGTTTTATTGTAAGAAATCTTGTTATCTTGCCAGGACAGACAAGTGCAAGGAGGTAATTAAACCTTGTGACAATTAGCATCAATCAGTGTCGTTGGAAGGCGAGTGCCCAATTTTTGTGACAACCAGGCTGGATGTCAGGCAAAGTTAGGTGTTTCAGCATCTTTCTTTACGAATCAAGTTTCTCACTCATATACTCAGCATAATAATGTGTTGGGGCATTGCACTGCCACTTCCCTGCTCTGCTTATCCTTGCCACTAATTGCTAACTTCTGTCTCTCACTTCTTTCTAGATCCATCAGACAATTTAGGCAATTGAAGGAGCCTTCTGACAGGAACAAAAAAGGTAATGTTTCTCGTTCTCATTTTTTAAGAGGTAGCTAGACCAGCTTTTGACTGGGGCAGCAATCACATCAAACAGAAGGTAAGTGTCTAGAGATAAGGCCCAAGTGTCACCAATGGCTCAGTTGATAGCTGTTGCACCTCTCAGACAGAAAACTGTGGGTTTACATTTCACTTAAGAATACAAATCAAGGCTGGCACTCCAATGCAATTCTGTGTGAGGGCTGCATTGTCATGAAGGTTGTCTTTCAGATGAGGTGTTAAACTGAGGCCCTACTCTGCCCTCAGGTGAATGTAAATATTCCTGTGATATTATTTCAAAGAAGGGTAGGAGATATCTCACAGGTGTTCTGGTCAATACTTACCCTTTAGTCAATAGCAGAAAAATCGATTTGTTGGTCATTATCACATTGCTGGTTGTGGGAGCTTGCTGTGTGCAAATTGGTGGCAGTGCT